GGAGTGGGGGGCGGGGGGAAGGGCACGGGACCGCCGGCACTTCACTTCCAGGGACGCGGGTCAGGATGGGGAGGAAGGGTCGGAAGCAGTCGGCTAGCTGCGTGATAGAGACGAGATGTTGCATGATAGAGACGAGATGTTTACAGCGGAGGCAGAGATGAGAGATGGTGAGAGATGGAAACAGATGGAGTGGAGTGTCCCACTTCCTCCCTCCCTCCCTTCCTTCCTTCCTTCCCTCCTTTCTTTCTTCCCCCTGCAAATATTTACTGGGCCTCAGGCATCATGCTAGGTGCTAGCTATACGCTTGGAAACACAGAGGTCCTGGTCCGTGTCCCTGAGGAACGTCCCCTCCCCCTGTCAGGAAAAATAATGAATTAAGTGCTCAGTAAGTTGTGACGGGGAACTCCGGCAGGCTGTAGGAACACCTCCCCTCGGCCTCTTGACTAGTATAGATGGTCAGGGAAGGCTTCCTGGAGGAAGCGGCTTCTGAGCTGAGAGACCTGAAGAGCTACAAGAGGAAGGATCGTTGGGTGCGGGTAGGAGGAATGTTTCAGGCACAGTCTAGGGCAACATATACAAAGGTCCAGAGGTGAAAGACAGCAAAATGCCCTGGAGAAGGAAGTTCTCTCTACCTGAGAAAGGTAGGGGGCGAGATAGGCCTTGGAGGTCATGGTGATGAGTCTGGTCTGTATCTGAGAATGAAAGAAGCCTCTGCAGCTTGGATCTCAGTAGGGTTAAGACAAGTACAGGCTTGCCTGGCAGGCATGTGCTGCTGGCCTGCCAGAGGTCACTAAGAAAGGAGCCCCTTGGGAAGAACTTTGCCCTGCAGGAGGGAGCCAGGCCTATCAGCCTGACTCAGGGAGAGAAGCCTTGGCTGATTGGGGGAGGGTGAGTCTGAGGTCAGTGGGGAGGGGGGTTGCCTCCTGGCTGGGCCCCACTTGGCTCATGTCCATGGCCTATGGAGAGCCGGAGAGCCAAGTTGGAGAGGCCGGAGCTGGGAGTGAAAATGGAAAAAGTTGTCTCACCAAAGCGGGGTTTGCAAACTCGTGGCCTGTGGGCTGAATCCCGCCTGAACAGCATTTTGAAACTTGGGAAACTTCACGTAAAAATCTGACTTTCTGCTTTCTTTTAAATGAAATTCCCAAAGCTCTGGCAATCCTGGGTGCCAACTTCCACGTGACAACAGTTAGCCGAAGCGGCTGCTCCCTGTACGTGAGGCATGTACTTTGGTTTGCCACAGTCTCCACCGTTCCCTGTTGCCTTGCACGTGACACGCTTGCTTAGTTTCGCTCATTTATATCACTCGCCCCTGCGGAGGAGAAAGGGGCCACGCACAAAACCCCGACAAGCTCAGGGGAGGTCTGCAGGCGGGTCTTACGAACTCAGAGACTGAAAGTAACCACTCAGGATGGTCTGAACATAAAAATTCCTGAGTAAAAGCCGGTCATGGCAGGTCATGGGAGGTCAGGGTGAGGAGTCTCATCCCAGGCCCGTAGCTTCCTTGACAAAGATCAGTCTTCATGGTTAGTGAGGCTGTCTGTTATCTTTTTGCATCTCAGATAACATACCTTTGAAATGTCAGAGCATTTCCTTTTTCAGACCCCTCAGGGCACCAGAATCCCTCCTTGTTATCTGCCCCAAAATACCATCTCTTAGTTACTATATATGTTAATTATTAAGTATCCTGTACCCACCAGTGTAAAAGAAGCATGTGTCTCTCTGTTGTATTTTTCCTCCAATCCCAGAGATTCTCCCACTCTGCTTTCTCCCGCCCCCTTCGTCTACCACCAGTGGATTTCCCGTAACCCTCCGTACGTCTCCTCTTTGGATTCTAATGTATAAAGTAAACTGCAAAATGCCATTCTCTGGAGCCTTTTCCCCATCCGTTGAGATTTTGCTCCCCAGCAATTGTCATCAGTTTGGCTCACATAAACTCTTATAAGACTTTTTCTTAAGCAGGATGTTCTTTCGTCGACATCTACTTGGAGCGGTCAGCAAGACTCCAAAGAAGCCCCTCCAGGACCCCCCTGTGACCCCGACCTGGTGCTAAGTACTAACTAACAGGGGGCCCGTTGGCCCACTGGCTCCCTGCTTTGTATCGTGTGAGCTTGGTGAGTTTTTCTTGGAATTCTGGTCCTTCCTGTTTGAAGTCTCTGCCTTTATTTGAGCAGTTCTCTAAAAAAGAAAAAAGAAAAAAAAATTCTTGAGGTGGCACTAAAGGTTAAGGGTTGAGATTACTCAGAGACAGGAGAAAAACAATGATCGGCTGTTTTGTTTTGTTTTTTAATTCCAGATTTGTGGTTGGAACGGCTTACTTACAGTCTGAACAAAACCTTTTATTGGATACATGAGAGCCTGGACTATCAGCTCTGGAGATAAGGAACAATTTAATCCCTCTAGCTCGAGTTTCTGATAATCTTAGGTGACTAAGAATCCATGTGGAAGTGTTTTGAGGGCACCCCCTCAAAATGAGCAGGGCCCCATCGGGAATTCCAGACAACTGTCATTCAATAATTGAGTCGTCCGCGGACACGCCCAGAAAGGCGGGTTACCTCGCGCTCTGGAGAAACTGAGACATACAGGGTCGAAACGATCCCAGAGGTGACAGCCCCTCGGATCTCAACCCGTAAGCCGCCCCTTCGACCCACTACACGATGTCCCTAGAAATTTGTTCAGATTCCGCAGATCTCAAAAGAAAACTAAAATTAACAAGGGACATCGCATCTCCAAGGCTGACAAGCCCCCAGCCCCCAG